TCGGACATAGAACCACTGTGTCTCCCAGGTTCCTGTCGATGGGAGACAGAACGAGACCTTCGAACTGATTCCCCCACTCCTTGACTTCTTCATCTGTCCATGCGCTCGTCTCGGTATGCCGATCCGAAAAAACTGCTCTTGGCTCTACCAGTGGTGCCTTCGTACACTTGAGGTGCTTCGTAGCATCCAAGATAGTCGTGGTAATCTTGCGCGCATCCCCGGCCTTCGTCGGTCTCGTGACATTCTTCGAGTTCCGTAAGACATCGGGAACTCTCAGATCCGAGAACCGTGTCAGTATATGCCCATCATGCTTAGGTAAGTCCCTCCCCCGTTAACCTCTTGTGAAGGGCAAGGGTGTTCATCCACGTTTGCATACCTCTTTTGATTGTGCAACAGCTCAGCGACGTTGCGGTTTCTCGTCCCTAGGATTCGAATCCTCGTTTTGACGAAATCCGCCAGAGGTTTGTCAAGTATAGTTCCTTCAATCAGGTCCTCCGCAGCCTTTCGTATATCGGATTTGAGCATGTGTGAATCGTATATTAATGTTAACCCTTCTCCTCACACTGATGTCGGTCTTCCTTGCAATCACTCTGTCAATCTTTGTCCGCAACCGATGGTTCGTTTGTTTCTCCGTGAACTGCCCCGCAGTTCCGTACAGTCCGATCAGTTTCTTAGTGGTGAACTTCATCAGCTGCGTATCTGGTTTCGATCTCTTCAGAAGGGCTGCCAGAAAAGCCCTGTTCCGTTCTGTAGTCGTCTTCGACTTTACAATTTTCTTCACCAACAGTGTCCCTCCCTATTCCAGTCTGTCCTTAAAATGTCGAAAAAGTAATGGCTGTCCTCCTATTTCCAATATGGAGTCACCGAAGCCACGCCTTAGTCTCCTCCACCCATCTATCCATCGCTGTCCACCAGAGAACGCTACTTCCATATTTTTCATCCCTGCTTGTTCCGAGAACCAGTTAGCAATAGACACGCTCGAAGTATCTAAATAGTAGATTGAGACAATCTTGTCCGTGGTCAACTGCCTCCTGCGTCCTTTTCTCTCCCGCCTACCCTTTCTCCTTCTACCCCTTCTGACCTTCTCTTGCTTACCTAGTTTCTGTGAGTTCAAGCTCGGGCAAAGAACGACAATCAGATGTTTTCCGAACGCGTAATCGTCGGTACTGCTAGCGTGCCTAATCGGTATAATAACAAACTTATCTATTCCGAAAGTACGCATCCAACGATACAAATGTGGTGCTTGTCCTAGTGCATCATTCTGCGCGTTCCTACAGTGTTCCCTCCACCTTTGGATAATAGGTCTTACCGTGCAACCTATGTAGGACTTCTTAGTCCATGGACTGACAATGGCATAAACTCCTCCCGTCTGTAGTTGTAGCACCTCCTTCAGGTTCTCCATCTTCGTCAAATATTTATGTAACCAAGGGATCTGCCCCTTAACCACGAGCAACAGCGTCGTGGTAGAGATAGCACATTCGATCTTACGTGTAACCTCCCCGGTGACGTTCTGCACCTAGAGAACCTCCCCGGTTAACCATCAATTCGAGTCATCGGTCGGTTGCTCCGGTGCAGATCTAATAATCACGGGCACAACTTTAGCCGCCGGTCTCTCCAAAGTTGTCCGATCCTTAGTGAACTCCTTCCGTGGTGTTCCTGAAGCCTTTGTCTTTCCGGTAGTTCTCACGGTCTCCTGTGCTTCCTCAAATCCGTCGTACGCAAGATGCACTTGGTGTCGTGCCAAAATTTCCACGACTTCCGGTTTCTTAGTATACTTAATCCCTTTCTTCTCACAGATCTTCCTCGGGACGTCGGCCTTCTTCGCTGAGTAAGTCTTATGTGCCGAGATGCAGTAGTCAATGAGTCCTTTCTGTGAGCATCTCGCTGCCAATCCTTTGAAGTTCCCAGCGAGTGGTGTCATGGGTTCCTCAGTGGTTTTGGTCGCTCCTAGCTTCGTGTCGTCCTGATCGAGCCCGGCTGAAGGACAAGCTCTACGTTGCTTCGAGCTTTCACCTCGTCCTTATGTCCGTGGTGGAGTAACCTCGAAGGTCGCTCTCCCTTTCCCCTTCGAACTTCTCTGCTTCCCTTTGACACGTTTCTTGTGCTTGTTCCCGCGTGATCTCCTCATTTCCAATCTCTTCGATTCCGAAGCTGATGACGCAGAGTCGTTAGTTTCGTCTTCGGTGGTGCCATCGCCCTCTAAGCTGTCGTTGGAGATCTCCCTGCCCTTCTTCTTCTGATGATGATGACCGATCCGCTTTTTGCTCCTCCCAGAGTCCCAAGTCGTGTAGTCGATCCCTTTTTGCCCGATCTTCTCGAAATTTCCAAAGCCGCTTTAGCCTCGGTGTTGGTCTTCCTCCATTCCTCCATCAGTTCCATGCGGAGCTGTAGCTTGAACTCCTCGGCTTTCCTAGCAAAGTCTTGATTCCTTTTGGTTTCCTCCTCTTCCTTGGTTTTCCGTTCTTCCTCCTGCCTGCGCTTCTCTTCCATCTCCTGTCGCTCCCTTCTAACTTGTCTGAAGTGTTCCTTCATCTCGTCGAGTTCTGGATCTCCCTGAGCCGGAGCGAAGCCTCTACCCCTTTTCGCCGACCAGCAATCACGGGCGAAGTGTCCCAACTTCCCGCAGTTATAGCAACCGTTATTCCCGTTTAGGTTGCGTCCTCCCCCTTCGCCGTAGTTATTCCCACCTCCGTAGTGTTGGCCAGCTCCCCCATACTGAAAACCTGTATTCGCATATCCATTTGGGGCGTTGGTGCTTCCGCCCCCACCCCCACCCCCACCGGGGCCATTCGTCAGGTACATCTTAGCGCCGCCGCGCCGTACCCACGACCCAAGGGTATAGGAAGCTAAATACCCTGCTCGTGCACGTATCTCACCACTAGTGTATCCGGGTATCTCGTGTAACTAAGACCCGTAGGTACGTCCTCAATCGCTGTATGAGTAAAGGCCCGCTGGTCACACCTGCTCACTCTCGCCACCTCCCCTAGCTGTAAAGCGCGACGTACGTCGTCCGAAGTAAGTTCTATTCTTCCACTGTGTGTCTGCCTTCCTACTTGTCCTAGTGAGCTCAAAAAAACCACCCAAATCCGAACGTCATCTAGTGTTCACTCCGTTGTGCACTATCTGACATATAAAAACCGATCAATAACAATTATTCTCTCCAAATATCGATGATCTCCCGGTATCTAGCTCTACGTCTAGTTCGTAGAACCAGCAAGGTTGCCTCTATTTTGATCAGTAGGCTCATCAACAAGTCGTAGAGCGAATTGTGCAGACTCACGTTCTCTACAGTGCATGGGCTCAACAGTGTGTCTCACATAGTCCTCCAGTGCTTGTATCAACCTTGCTCTAACCGTAACTCGCCTCCTATTTGGCAATGATCTATTCTCCGGGACTCCCGACATTTCAGCAAGCGGCCCCGATCAAAATCACCCTGATGCCCAAAAGCATCACTCCGATCCCGAATAGTACAATCCGGATCGCCTTACCTTCGCGTTTCATACCGGTCTCGACTCCCCTTGTCACCTTCACCTCAGGCAAAAACTCAAAGATCCCGACCCCGTCCCTGTGTTCTTGGTCGAAAGTGGCGATGTCTTCGCCCTGCGCTACGCTCACCAGGTTGTGACGTGTGTCAGGTCCCTTGTCGACGTAGCCAACGTGCAGCGCGTGCCAGCTGGCGGTTACTACGAGCCCACGAGATGGCAGACCGCGGGTAGAACAGTCTGTGCAGCACAATCAATCTCACAAACGCACCCGAAACACAAGTTCCAAAACGAAGTGAGTACATTGACAGCTGCAAAAATGAGCAACAAGTGGCATCCCCCAACCAGTTTCACCCGCCCACACGGGATCATCAGGAGGGTGACTCTAAACAAGAGTCTTCGTGCTCGCTGAAAAGGGCGGCTCAAGCCTTGCCACCCGATATATACACCCATCTTCCCGTCAGGGTTCCTCGTTCATCCTCCGAAGCCACTAGCAAAAGAACTAACCTTCCGAACCGCCGGTCAAGACTGCAAGAGGCATTACAGAAGAAGTCTCTCCCTCTTCGTGGTCCGTTCTAATCCTATAATCGGTTGACCGACCGAAAGGTAACATATCGGAGATATCCTATCTAAACGAAAATATCCTACCTTAAAGAAGGATGACATCGAGTATTCAGAAAATTTCACCGCAATCTCATCCTGAAAGGTCCGCTAAAAATACAAAGTCCGGTACTACGACCGAGATCCACAGGGTCCTCTCGTTCGTCCTCCGAAGCTCTATCTAAAAGAAGGATGACATCGAGTATTCAGAAAAATTTCCACCGCAATCTCGTCCTGAAAGGTCCGCTATTAAAATACAAAATACAAAATTCGTTGAGAACCGCAGAGTCCGTCTTAATCCAGTCCGCGATAGGTCCCAAACCCAGAAAACACGATAAATCGGACCTCGCACTCATGGCGGTATGCTAGCGGGGCCGGCGGCCCGTAGTCCTGGAGGGAGATCCCACTACCGACGTATATGGATTAGTAGAGAGGGTGTGTGACTCCGAAGAACCGCTGATCGGAACAATGATCGGCGGTGTGGTGTTTCTTAAATTTGAGTGGGGGGTCATTTATGTATTTTTGCGGCCCCCCATTGGCTGGTCGTTCTTTTTATTTTGTTGAGTAGGCCGTGCAGAGGTCCCCAACGTGAGTGAAAATCATAACGATTTTTTTGGTTATGATTTTTCACACACCTTCGGTTTGTGGCCCATGCATGGAAGAGAGGCCAAAATCGACAATGTGGGAGGTGTTTGGGAGGATTCGATCCCCTCACCTACATCAAATATGGCATAGAGTTAGTCTGACATCTGTCAGAGCTTGCTCTGTGGCCCATTTCAAGGAAGGCTCAGACTACTGTAAACGAATATGGTCCTCTTGGACGCTCACATGCAGTCATCTTGACTGCCACATCCATGGTCAATGAATCATACCCTGACATCTGACACGCTGCCTGGATGAGACAGGATCCGTGGAAAG